TGAAATAAATCATAATAGGAGACTCTAAAATGTACAGATTGAAAATAAGACTTCTTTTGATACCTATCAAAAGTCACCTTACTGCCATCTTGACTATCTTATAAGTTAGAAAAAAAAGAGACGAAAAATGGGGCAGACAGTCCACTCACAAAAAAGTGGGTGGAATGCCTAGCCTCATTCAAAGTACCTCATAATGTAAATAGTCACATAGAAGAGGATAAACAACCTTTATTAGAAAAAAATGCTAAAATGGTATATAGTCCAAATACTATTACCATACACTAAAATAGTGTATTGATTATAAGTTAACCACCAAATTTGTAAAAACCTGGGAGAGGCTAATGCTGCAAGGTATGTTTGACTTAATAAAGGTGTAAAAATACACCTAAAATAATAAATGGGTAACAAAGCAGGTTAGTCTAAATCCATTCTAGGAAAGGACCCAACTGGGTAATTGGATAGAAAAAGGATAGTCTTAGAGCAGTGTCTGAGAGAATCTGGAAAGGGCAGGATTAATAGCAACTAATGGGGCGCACCCAAACTGATATCGAGTAGCTTATACTAAAGAGAAAAGGAGCTAATACCCCATAAAGAGAGGAAAGATAGAACCCCCCCCCCCCCTTGAGTCACCCTAAAAAAACTAACTATCCTAAGAGAAAAAGCAAAACTAACTGCTGCTTCGTGGCAGCCTATCCAAATCCCTAAGTCTGTATCAGGAGAAAATATAGGCGCAAACTCATGCGCTGTGGAAACCCAGGTAAATGAAAGATGAGAGTAAAGAAAATCAATTGAGTATAATAGCATTGGCTAAGTTAACCACCAAACTTATAAAAGCCTGGGAGAGGCTAATCCTGCAAGGTATGTTTGACTTAATAAAGGTGTAAAAATACACCTAAAATAGTAAATGGGTAACAAAGCAGGTTAGTCTAAATCCATTCTAGGAAAGGACCCAGCTGGGTAATTGGATAGAAAAGGATAGTCTTAGAGCAGTGTCTGAGAGAATCTGGAAAGGGCAGGGTTAATAGCAACTAATGGGGCGCGCCCAAACTAATATCAAGTAGCTTATGCTAAACAGATAAGGAGCTAATACCCCAATTTACCAAAGAGAGTAAAGACAGAACCCCCCCCCCCTCTGAGTCACCCTAAAAAACTGACTATCCTAAAAGAAACGGCAAAACTAACTGCTATATAGACCTTGCTAGACGCCAAGTGTGTATTGAAAATAAGCTGTTTAAAGGAGACTCACACCATAAAAAGGTTGAGTTTAATACCTGTGTATATAAACGATTGACTGGTATATATATAAATATGTTATATTGTATATAGACAGGGCTTGCTAAAAAGTAAAGTAACTCAAAAGGAAGGGTAACAGAATATCCTTTATATGACACATGTTAACATGGATGTCCCATGATCCACTTGCCAGTATTAAAGGTTGTAACCATACACTGTATACTAAAAGTGATCACAGGGAAAGATGAGTGTGCCAATAGGAAGACCAATTATATTATATGTATTATGCAATATAGGAAAAAAACAGATTATAAGAGATAATTTTATTTAGTTAAAATTAGATGAAATTTATTAAAGTCAAAGAGCACTAAATAATTCAAATAAATGGAGAAAAAGAAAACCCCTCATTGAGTCCTCTTGGATTGAGGGTATTAAGTTTATAAATCCACCTGCATTCTTTCTGGCGCAGAATTTTGTCAAAATCACCCCGTCTCTGATCACATTTCACAAGTTCTAAGCCACAGAAACGTATATCTTTTGATAATCCACCATGTTGTTCCTTTAGATGTCTTGAAATGGAGGTATCAAGTCGATTTTTAGGTGATCTAACGTGTTCTTTAATGCGTTCTTTAAATGGATGAAAGGTTTTACCCACATACATCAACTTGCAACTACAGGTAAGCAGGTATATAACCCCTACTGAGTTGCAATTAAAGAAGTGGGTAATCTGGAAGGATTGTTTACCTTCACTATCCATCACCTCCTTCGAATCTCTAAGGATAAATGTACAAGCCACACATCTCCCACAGCCAAAAGATTTTTCTACCGAGCCACGTACTGTTAGAAGGTTGTTTAGAAGTAAAGTGGCTAGGTACGAGAATATCACGGAGGTTCCTACCTCTTCGGGCTGTAATGGAGACTTGTGGGCCCAAAATAAGTTACATCAGATTCAGATTAGGACAAGAGGGAATGCAGTGTCTGGTCTTTACATGAATCAACATAAATTAGCACATCTTAGTCGTGTCATGTTATTATTATTATTAATTTTTTATTTATATAGCGCCAGCAAATTCCATAGCGCTGTACAATGAGTGGACTTTACAATACCTTGGGTTGTCTACTTTTGCAAATGGTATGCCATCATGGGGGTAATTCTTATTCCTGGGCTACCATACGGTCTCAAAGGCAACATAACCAATCTGGCAAATTTCAATGTCAAAAAAATGAAATGCAAGCCTTATATGTGACTCTCTAACTTTCCAAAACACCATAAAACCTGTACATGGTGGGTATTGTTATTCTCAGGAGACTTCACTAAACACAAATATTAGTGTTTTAAAACAGTAAAATATATTACAACAATAATATAGTCCATAAAATTGCCGTTTGTTTGTAAAAAATGCAAAAAACTTCACTTTTACTTAAAATATCATTGTTGTAATACAATTTACCAGTTTGAAACACTAATATTTGAGTTCAGCAAAGTCTCCCGAGTAAAACAGTACCCCCTATGTACAGGTTTTATGGTGTCTTGGAGAGTTACAGGGTCAAATATAGTATTAAATTCTCTGCATTTTCTCCCTGTGTTGTCAGGCATGTCAATCAAATTTTAATTAATCAAATCACATAATTATGTTAAAAGATTACTTAAATATACACGTAGAATTTTAATATATATGCATTTATAGATATTTAAATTCTACGTGTATACTAATGTAATCTTTTATGTAATTATATGTATTTATCTATATATATATATATTTGCGGTTATTTGTATTTTATATATAGATAGATATATATAGAATGTCATTCTAAGTGTATTTTGTTAACAATATATATATATTAATAACAAAATACAGTTAGAATGAAATTACATATGAATATATAATTTTAATAAAATTTTGTTTCAATATTTTATTTATTTATTTTATTATTTTATTTATTTATGTAATTATACACATATATATATATATATATATATACATATTATATATATGTAATGTCATTCTAAGTGTATTTTAATACTAATATATGTAACGGACCGTTTCTCTCACAAGAGGATAAAAACCGTTTAGGCGATAATCCCCTTTCCCATAGACCCGCAGCTACTGCAAGCACCAAACTCCCGAACTGCAAACTGTACAAATTCACCAACTCCCGAACTGGAAACACACGAACACTGGAATCAGCCGAACAGGAAAAGCATACAATCCGCTTACACTCCTGGAAGTCAGCATACAATCCAATTCCCCCCAAAAACGAGACGACACATCGGTTTGAGGGTCAAGCAGAATCTCCCTGTACTGTCACATACAGTCTCTTTTATTCCCAATCCACAAACATAGTACAGCCCACAGGGCGTTACAAAACAACCAATCAATCCATACAATACACCCAGACACTCCCACACAAAATCCTCCCCTCTGCAGGTGATATGATTACTGAACACAATGGGTAATCTCATTATCACCGGCAGAGGAATACAGTTTTTACACAATATTTATAACTTCTAAAATATACCTGTCACAAACATAAAACATTCATTTTCATAATCAATCCATTCAGGGGAACAACATATTAAAAAATGGCACGAATCAGACCAGGGGTTCAAAAGTTAAGGGAAAGTCCTTTGTGACTAAATGAAGCATAGCTTTCTGGCCCAAACCAGTTTCAGAGTCTTCTATCCTGGAGATAAGTAATTCAATTATCTCCCAGGACAGACACAAGACTCCATTAAGCACATGGTTGCAAAAAGACACAAAACACTTTAAAATACATAAAGTCACCTTTACACATAACACACAGACATTTCACATATCCCCAGATAGCTGGGATCTGAGCGCACATTATTAGATGAATGGCACTCAGATCACACAAATAAGCCTTTCTGCAGGGGAAATAAACGATTTAACCTGCAGGGCCATAGTCCAAAGGGAGCAGGCGAGCAACCAGGCTTCTCCAGTTCACAGTGGCGAGGTTGGTTTCGCCACAATATATATACTAATATTAGTATTAAAATAAACAACGTATGACGTTATATATATGTAATATGTATATATATTATATGTATTAAGGCAATTTGCCTGCATTTGTGGGAGGTGCTGGTTTTCTACCCCTAGCCTACTTAAGGCACTCCCCTTGCCTGGCTCCTTACCGTTTGAGGTCAGCGTTGAATGAGGATCCACTTCCGGGTTCTCTCAGACGCCATCTTGGTTTCAGTATCCAGGAGGTTTCACCACGTTAAGCTGTGTCCAGGAATCCTGTTCAGGCCTTTCCACCCGTCCAGCTTCTTCTGACTCCGTTCTCCGTTGTAGATCGCGTCCCAGGGACTCCTAAACCGTAAGTCAGACCTTCCTGTCACACCAGGACTGGTTCCCACGGCGTACGGTACAGCACGGGTCCTCGCTTTACGGCTTTTCCCTGGTTATGACACGAATGTTTTCAAGCCATTCGCGGGCTTTTCATTTCGTACGGTCATTCGGCTGAACATGTTTTTAATCGTTCAATAGTCATTTCGCATATCCTATTCATGTTATTTAAACGAATGTTCATTCGGTTATTTTTGCCGTTCGGCAAATTTTACATACGCTCACACACGCTTTGGTTCGCATAAATCATACGGTTAAACTATTCTAACTTCTGTGTTCCCCTCACATTTGCTTTCGGCTGTTCTGTGTGTTCACGTATAATCCTTTCATGAATTATATTCACCATTTCATGTGTATATAACATTCGGTTAAAGTATTGCTTGCTTAAATAGATTGTTGATTACTTTTAACAAATTGTCAGTATTGTATTACGTCCACAAATCAAGTCCACTTCTCTGTGTATACCATTTGACTCCCACGCTTTCAGGGGTCTGCATTACTTATCCATTTATATGAATGGACTCAGCCTATGTTACAAGCATCATTTCTGGGTTATTAATACAACATATACAAGGATAGGTTCATTTAAGCAATAATTCTCGGGTTGATACGTCTTTGCTATACATACATATCATAGATATACATCACTTTACATCATGTTAAATCATTTTGGGTTATCCCTGCCTTTGGTCTTTCTGCTACATATCATACATAACGCTGTGTTAATTAGGCCATGACCTCATCCATGTCCCTTTCTATAAAACCAGTTACATTTCGGTACAGATCATTGAACTCCCACGCCAGGAGTTTTATAACTATCCATTTCATTTCAATTTTACTCAGCCTACATTACAGGCCTCATTTCTCTGTCATGACGATGACACATAAGGCTTAAATCCTTTTGCATGCATACTCGGGTTGAATCACACGTACTGATCCAACCAATCATACGTCCCCTACACAGTCATATACATATG